TTAATTTGAAAAATTTTCCAAGTGATCCTGGACTAGAGCTATCCGCCAAAGTTGATACAACAGGTTCGCAGAGCTTACTTGTTAAAAGGTCCATGTCAAACACGCGAGCATGATTTTCCTCAGACTTTAGATGAAAATCGAAAACGTGAAATTGTTGCATCTTGGTTTGATGAATTCAAGGATTGGTTGGAGTATAGCAATGTGAAAGATGTTGAATATTTTTTATATTGTTATCTTTTTTTTTTTAATGGGGAGCAGTGAAAGAGGCCACGATGCTTTTGTATTGGGAGGATTTAATTATTGGCGGAAGAAAGAAAGACTAAGAGATCATGTTAGGAATCATAATAGTGATAATCATAAATGTAGAGTTGCTTGTGAAAATTTGATGAATCAAGCTCAACATGTTGATGTGTCTCTTTCAAAAGCAACAAGTCAATCTAAAATTGATTATCGTTGTAGATTGAATGCATCGATTGTTTGCTTGTGTTGTCTCATCATGCAAGGTCTACCTTTTAGAGGGAATGAAGAGTCATATGAATTATTAAACCAAGGAAACTTTATTGAACTTCTAAAAATTCTTGCTTCATGTAATGAGGAAGTACACAATGTTGTGTTGGGTAATGCTCCTGAAAATCATAAACTTACTTCTCCTATGATCCAAAAAGATATAATTAGTGCGGTGTCAATTGAGACAACAAATGCTATTGTTGAAGATCTTGGACATGATTTTTTCTCCATTTTAGTTGATGAGTGCCGGGATATCTCTGTGAAAGAGCAAATGGGTGTTGTCATACGTTATGTGAATAAGAGTGGTTGTGTTATTGAACGCTTTCTTGGTTTGGTGCATGTTAGTGATACGGCCGAAACTTCACTCGAGGAAGGTATTTGCTCTTTGTTATCTACTTATGGCCTGAGTATCTCTAGTTTAAGAGGATAATGTAATGATGGAGTGAGCAATATGAAAGGTGAGTTCAATGGGCTAAAAAGTTTGATATTAAAGAAAAATTCTAGCGCCTTACTATGTCCATTGTTTTGCTCAACAACTCCAACTCACACTCGTTTCTATTGGAAAAAAAGCATACACGTGTCGATTCTTTTTTTAATACTGTTACTCGTTTAACTAATATTGTTGGAGGTTCTTGTAAGCATAGAGATATGCTTAGAGAAAAGCAAAAGGATAAAGTAATTGAGGGGATTGCAAGCAATGAGATTGAGACTAAAAAATGATTAAATCAGGAGATGATTTTGAAGCGACCGGGAGACACTCGTTGGAGTTCACATTATGGTACTCTTATAAATTTGGTGCATTTATTTTCATCTATTATTGATGTTCTTGAGTATATTGGCGAAAGAGAAAATAATGATTCACAAAGGGCTGGAGCCATTGATTTGTTAGAGATTGTGAATATGTTCGACTTCATATTTACTTTACATTTATGATGAAAATTTTGGGAGTCACACATGAGTTGTCTCAAGTTCTTCAAAGAAGGTCAAGATATTGTTAATGCGATGAAACTTGTTAAAGTTGCTAAAGCACGCATGTAAGCCATTAGAGATAATGGTTGGGATGATTTACTGGCTGAAGTTTCTAAGTTTTGTGGCAAACATGACATAGTTATATTGGATATGGAAGGTGTGTATGCAACTCGAGGAAGACTGAGGTGCAACGTTGAAAACATGATCAACCTTCACCATTATCGAGTTTAGTTGTTTTATTACGTGATTGATATGCTAGCTCAAGAGCTTAACAATCGGTTTGATGAAGTGAACAAAACTACTCTTGTCAATGGTATGCTTTGATCCGAGAGACTCATTTTTAGCATTTGATAAAAGAAAATTGCTCCGTCTTGCAGAATTTTACCCATCAGCGTTTTCTACAGTTACTTTACATGAACTTGAAAATCAGCCCGAGAATTTCGTTTTTTATATTAAATTAGATGAAGACTTTTCCAATGTAGCCAACATTGGAGAACTTGCTCAAAAGATGGTGTGTAGAACAAAACATGATGTTTTTTCATTGGTTTACTTGTTGATTGAGTTGTTATTGATTTTACCGGTTGCCACTGCTACAGTGGAAAGAGCTTTTTTGGCAATAAAAATCATCAAAAGTACACTACGCAACCGAATGGGTGATGAGCTTTTGAATGATTGTTTAGTGACATACATCGAGAAAGATATTTTTCAAAATGTTAGCAATGAGGCTATCATGCAACGATTTCAAAACATGAAAAATAGAAGAGAAATGTTATGATCTCTCAATATTATTGTAAGTTTTTTTTTTTTTTTTTTTTT